CGTGGAGCAGCCCCTGGGCTCTGCCCTGCCTGTGCCAGGGGTGGGCCGGGCACCCAGCTCCCCGGGGTGGCCCGTGGGGGTGTCCCAGCCATCGGGGCGCTCTCTGCTGCACCGGCACAGCACCGGCCGCACGACCCGTTTGCAAAGAGCCAAAACGTCCACTCGGCCCCTGTCCCAAACTGACAGAAGGGATCCCAGCCCGGGAGCTGCTGCACACACCCTGCTCCAGGCAGGACTGTTTCTCAGTTCCTTGACTCCAGTAGTTACTTCCCCAGTGACTGCTCAAGGCCATTACTTCTGATCTGACTCAAAGGATAACAATTGTTTCCTGCCTTTGCCTTATCTCTACGCATCTATAAACAACCAAGCATTCTCTACAGATTTGTCTTGGCTTCTTTCACAATGCTCGAGTTCAAGTACCTGCTGCTCTCTAAACAGAGCTGAACCCTCCAGCAGAGGTTGCAATTCCATTTTTCAACAAAACGAAACCCTTCACAGCAGGCTCAGAAATGCCACACAGAATCCAAACCTGTGAGTTCAAATCAGCTGCAATCATCACCACCAGGATCTTTTGGACTGAGAGAAAACAAGGTACAGTCATTATCTGGTTTTAATATCAGATGGCAAGAGCCTGGGGAAAAATCAACATGCTTTATAAAAGTGCTCAAGATAAACAGCTATTTCTTTCTCTCAGGAAACCACACTCCATCAAAGTGCTTAGCAGAGCTTAGTTGTTCCTCCAGCCTCTCAGAGAACTGTTTTCTAAACAACCCTTATGGTTCCAGAAAGATTTCTGAACAACCCCTCTATCTACTACCCATGGAGGCAGCAACAGACTAATGTTACATCGACGTAACAAAAAGGAAAACCCAAATACACATGGTGTTGACCATCTCAGCACTCCAAATTCATGTAGTTGCCCTTCTCTCATCTGCCCATCCCCCCTTGGGTCAGCTGCAACTTAGTTTTTCTTCTCTGCATCAGAACATTAAGTCAGTAGATTTTGGGTTTTTTGGTCTCAGTTTCTCAGGCCAGGACCCTCCAGCAGTGAGGATCTGCTCAGAGGTGACCGTGGGGCCCACTCCTCATGCCAGCCCAGGCTGGTGTGATGCCAGAGCCCACGCTGCATGCACGGGCCGCGACGGGCCAGCAGCCAGGACCAGTGACACCGGGGGACAGGGCACGGGTGCCTGGCTTCATCCTGGCTGGCAGCTCGGTTAGGTCACAGCAGAACACAGACAGTGCCAGCTCCCTAACTTCTCAATGGCGAGTTGAGCATTTGGCAGGTGACACCAGGAAGTTCAGCATCACAGACCAGGCAGGGCAGGTTTGCTCTAACAAAAGATCCCTTCCCACAGAGCAGTTCAGTATCTCCCCTCTCCACCAGCACCATCTGCACCAGCTGGGTGTACTTGGCTTGAAGAGAACATTTGTCCCTTCTCACTGGCTGTCAGTGGTACAGTGTCACCTCATTCTTCTCTCCCCACACCCTCTCTCCCCAAGTCCATCCTCCATCTGGAGCTGAGACACAAGCCAGGTCCTGCTCTCCCAACCTCACACGCTGCTGTCCTCGAGCAGGGGCTCCTTGCCATCCAACCCTCCGGCCTGTGGGCTGTGGGTGTGGGGCTGGGCTCCGTTACTGTGCTTCTTGTGGCTGCCTGACCTCAGCACGAGGTTGTGCTCAGGAATGAACAAGGCCACCAGGAGCGACAGCAGGACAGAACAGGCCCCAAACAGGAATGGAGGCCCTGGGATAATGCTGCTCTGTAGGGAGAAACAGAGGAATGATTAACACCCAGATGCAGGACAGAAGCAGCCCAGCACTTGGAATGATAAAGCTAATCAGGTTACCTCATCTGTAGGGTTGGCCATGTTTGGTCGGGAGGCCTTACCCAAAGTTTCCACCTCAGCCATCTCATTCAGCTCCACGTGGAAGAGATAGAAGACAAAGCCATAGAGCGCCGGCCCCAGGCCATTGCACAGACCCCGAATTCCAGTGATCATCCCCTGCACCACACCTGAGGACAGAGCCAGGAAAGGAAGACATGCCTCCAGCTTTCTGCAGAACCTTGTTGCGTTCCAGGACGCTCACGTGTTCAAAGACAGGACCAAACACTCGGGTGTGGATTGACACACGCCGCAGACGACCCGGTTAGATGGTGACGAGCTTCGCTCAGTATTGGGTTTTACAAAAATCAGTAACTCTGGGCTTGCTGCTTTGGAAAATAAAATGAGCACGAGCACGTCAAGTAGCGATGCCCGAGTGGACTGGAATTCCAGTGAGGGCTCAGGGTTGAACCATGAAGCAGGCAAAAGATGAAGCAGCAGTCTCCTCTCTGCCTCAGACAGACAACACTGAACACCTATGAGCACAATTTAAGGATCCCCTCCCACAACATCAGCTACAGGCAAAGGCCAGAGTGTCAGTGCTAAGAACCAAGTGACTCCCCACAGCTGGGGCCGCTGTCCCTGTCCACCCCACCCCCAGCAGTGCCCAGTGCCCCACGACTGCCCCGCGACTCACCCTGCTGGTCGGGGTCTGCGTTCCTGGACACCATGGCACTGATGGCCGGGAAGGTGATGCTGGACATGGCAGCCACGGCTCCCGCCGCCCACATCATCCTGGGGGACAAAGAGCCGCTGGTAGGAGGCCGGGTGGAGCTACGGCAGAGCCAACAGCAGGGGGAGAAACCTGACGATGCCAGGAGACAAACGTGGGTGAACTCTTACCAAGGCTGCGAGCCGAAGCCGTACCAGGCAAGCTGCAGGATCTGGAAGCCCAGTCCCAAGAGGATGGTGTTTTTATTTCCTATCGAACGCATGAGAATTCCCAACACAACCGTCTGGAAAGAAGAACAAGTGCTTTCAAAGTAAGCGTGAAGAAAGACAATGCACTGGAAGAGAAGAGGATGGGAACCAGAGGGGCCTCCTGCTGCTGTGAGATGCTACTGCAGACACACCACACCCTGCTCTCACAACGCTGTTAGAAACCAGCACGTCCCCATCCACACAACCAGAGCAGTCTGTGGAGATGCACGGAGCAAATCAGGGTCCCCCCACAGGTCACCGCAGTTTGTTGCTCAACAAGCAGCTCCACTCAGGAGGAGAGGGACTGCAGGTAGCTGTGCACAGGCCCGACGATCCCGTGTGGCCACAGGCATTCTGCCAACTCACCAGTCCCCACTATCAGCAGCTCAGGATGTTCTTACAACCAGACTGCTAGAGCCAAAACAGAAATTGCTCCTCACCTGAGCCAGTATAGAGAGAATCCCAACTACACCAATAAAGGCTGCCACAGTCTCGGAGGAAAAACCAATGACCTGTGAAAACACCAGACAGGGGCTTTTCAGGCAGGAGATTTGTACTCAGTCACCCCATCAGTGTCACCCATGTTTACTGACATCACTTATCAGGCACTTAAACATTAATCAGTTGAACCTTCCACCACCTCCCAGCTTCCACAGGAATAAACCAGAAGATTTTCCCCTGGCTGAAGAGACAGCTTTAAATCACTGGGCTCACCTTCAGCGCCTGGAAGTGGCATAGACAGGATGAACAGACAGGCCAGCAGCAGGATGCCAAGCAAGGGCCCTGGCAATGCCTAGGGAGCAGACACCAGGCTCCCATGTTTATTTTTAGGAAAGCTGGAACAAGTCGCTATTCCTTACAGCTTCAGCTTTACTCAGCTATTGGCAAAGATCAGCTTCTCCATGCCACCCAACTAAGATAACATTTATAGGCTGGCATTTCCTGCATTCAAAACCTTCCCTCGTTACGAGACTGACCTGTCGCAGGTACAGGAAAAAGCTGGAGTACTGGCCAGCTTCAGGAAGGTAGGAGAGAAAGACGGTGATACAGATGAGCAGCACTGTGGAATCCTGACCCACTTTCCGCAAGGACTGTAGGGAATGAAAAAAATGTAAAAAAAAGGAGTCAGTGTTATTAAACATTCTCCAGGTACAGCAAACCCAAGTGCTTAAGTCACCATCTTCTATCTAAGAAGTGAACCCTTGAATGAAACCAGACCAGGTGTACCATGGCATCAACCTCCACAACAAGCAATTTTTACCTTTCAGTTGCTCAAATTTACAGTCAAGTGCTTTTGCTCAGAATTGGTTTTTCCTCAGAGAGCCAAAGCAATCTTCCTACTAAGCAAGGGTGAGGTGAAGCTGTGCAAAGCTCATCATCATTAGCGAGGGTCCTGAGAAGCCAGGGATATGAGAGACTTCTCCTGACACAGTTCTGTTGCTAAGTACCAGAATCCAAACAACCAACACAAAAAGATGCTCTCACTTCAGGACTCCTGGGGCTGCTTTTAGCTGGTCTGTAGCTATTATGAAATCAGTGAGAAGCTGCCAGACAGCTCTAGACAGCTCTAGATGTGCAGTCTGCCATCAGCTGAACCCTGTACGTTCAACAGGGTTAATCTAAGCCTTGCATCCATCACCTCTTGTGCAATGACCTTTCTTTTGAGAGAAAGCAGCAGAACTAAAGCAAATACAAGCGTTGCCAGCAGGTGGAAAAACAGCAGCAAGATTACTCACCGCAAACGGGTCTGCTTGTTCCCAGGAGATGGGAGCTCCCCAGGAGACCGGGCGCATCTCCTCCGGCAGAGACTCGGGCACAGCCAGCAGGATGAAGCCGATATCCAGCAGAGCCACCCCCGAGGCCAGCACAACCACCAGCGTGTCGCCGTAGGCCTGGGAGAGGTACGCGCCGATGGCGGGGCTCGTGACCAGACTGGCAGCGAACGTGGCCGACACCTGCAAGCACGAGACATTGATACAGACACTTCTAGAGCCTGTTTTCTCTCCCAGAGTAACCCGAGGGTTCCATTTCTCCCATCTTTGACAGAGGTAATGCAGGACTTGTGCAGAAGGAAAGGTGACGTGTGCGCTCGGCGCAATCTTGAGCTCTAGCAGAGGGAAATGAGAGCTCTCCTAACGCTTCACATGGGATACTTCCAGCTAACCTATGGGAAGGGCCTGGTCACAGCACGCCAGCAGCTCTGCCCACCCCCTGCCTGGTGCACAGACACTCACAGGCCAGGCTGGTTTCACGTCAATGCTGAGCAACAACACAGCCCCTGTCCAGACCCAGAGAAACCGGCCCTCGCCCCGGTGCCACCTCCCACACACAAGAGACGGTACCGCCAGCGAAGCGTGCACTTCAGAATCACTGATGCTGACCTCGGCCTTGTCAAGGAATCCCCCACCCTAATTTCATACCTCTCCTACCTGCAAAGCCTCAGATGCTCCTTTCCAGACACAAGGCAGTTACTCAGCTCCTTACCAATCCATACGCCGTGCTGCGCTCGTGCTCCTGCGTGATATCAGCAACGTAGGCAAAAATCACAGAAAAGGTGACAGCAAAGACTCCAGACATGGAAATGACAGCGAAGTACCACCTGGAACAGGCATTGCCAGGGGAGAGTTAGGGAGCAACCACACAGCAGTCTGCAGCTGCTGAACAAGAACCTCTCCCCTACCCTCCCCTCACTCCATCCTATTTCACGGCTCCAGAGAGCACTCGGGAACACCGAGCTTCAGCCTGTGGCCCACAGAGATTTATCACTTGTGTTCCCCACACAGGAAGGAAACACCAACATGCTCTGACAGGCAGCTGCCAGGAGAACAGGCACCAGGAGAAGAAAGACAGACTGAAGAGTCCTGACACCAAACCTTCCAGCAGAACCAGCCAAATCAGTTAGTCTTTGGGATGAGCATCCTTCTCCACGGCACGGACTCTTCCATCTCACCCTCAAACCCCTCATCATCCAGCCTCCCACTCATTTCTCTCCTCGGAGCCCCTCAGTTATAGCCAGAGCAAACTCACCATGGACTTATCTTCATAAGGGGAATTGGCGCACATGTGAAGAAGACAGTGAGGAGGAGGAAGGATTTCCTGCCCCAGACATCAGAGAGAGCACCAATCAGTGGGGCACTTAGAAAAGAAAGCAGACCCTAAGACAGACAGACAGACAGACAGGGTGACAGGGAGAAATGCCTCAGTCAAATTCTGATGATTGTCCATGGCGAGAGCTTTTGGCAACATGATCTAAAGATAAAAGCCTGAGGAGACAATCCATTCCTATTGTCTACAAGCAGGCAATATTACCAGAACAGAACAGTTTGTTAAACCGCTCACATCCTTCTAGCGAGACCAAACCACCCCAAATCCTCATCCCACAGGTGCTGCTCAACACCCCAATTGCTTCCTGCTCCCTGCAACGGCTGGGCCTGCAGCTGGGGACTTCCCCTCGGGCCCGTGCAGCAGGGGCTGCCCTGCCAGCACCCCAAACGACGCGGGCACGGCTCCACCACACCCACATCTACTGCAGCTCGAGGGAAAGCATTCCCTCTGAGCGGAGACAAGCCAGACCCCAGGAGATGCCAAGGCCATTAGGCACCCATAAAATTGCCAAAGCCTTTCAGACCTGGGGCAGGCGGGGGAGAGCACTGGGTGCAGATGGGAGCGCCCACCTGCCACGGGAGCACACCCCTCTGCGGCCGTGCCCCGAGACCCGTTTGCCAGGGCCGTTCTGCCACGCTGCGAGTCAGGACACAGGGCTTCTGCCTGCTGCCTGGAGCTGCCCCCAGTCCTGCTCTGGTCCAGCTCTGCAGTGCCAAGCACAGTGCCCAGCACGCCCGCCTCACTCCCGTTCCTGTGGCCGGGGAGCTCCGCTGCCATCGATCTCTCATTTCCCCACGGCCCTGAGCACGGACAGAGGCTGCTCCTGACGATTAGAGGATTTCCAGCTGAAGCACGTGACTGCCACAGCCCCAAACCCACGCTGACAGCCAGCACGCTGTCAATACTGCCAGTACAATCAGCCACCCCACGTCTGTGCTCTGCCAGTCCTTCACTTTGCATTAGGTTTACCAGCATGGCACCAAACCGAAGCACGGAGTTCTGTCAGTGAAACACTCGTGACACCAGCAAACGACACAGACTATGATGGCTGCAAGGAATATCCCTCACCTTGACTCCATGAATCAGGCCATTCATCAAGAATGTATGCTGAGGAAAAGTCTGGTGTAACACCTAGGAAAAAAACAATACAAAACAAAACTCCAGAGCTGGCAACTTTTGCAGAATTTCCATTTGCTGCCTCTGTCAATCCTCGCTCGGTGGAGCCCTCTGCACTACCCTGGGCTCTCCTGAACAAGGGTGACTTTGTGTAGCAAGCGATTGCCAGGAAATTGTCTCTGTGCTTTGACACCTCAGACAATGATGGTGGTACTTGAACAAAAATCTTTTATCTCCAGATCCATCTGTGTAGGGTAATAGGTGCAGTTTTCAGATAAAAAGTCAAAGCTTTGGACAACTTTCTTTCATTAAGCTCCCAAGCTCACAGTTCTTTTCACCTCCAAACGCTTTCAAAAATCTAACTCATGCTTTGCTCCAAGTTAAGATACAATAATTAAGACAATAATTGCCCAGCTCCATAGAAAAAAAAATAATTACTGTAGCTCCAGCTTTTTCAGGTACAAATAATTACATCTTGTTTCCTGCTTCCTACACTCCACAGGCCTACGTTAGGACCTTTATCCCCCCCAGCCCAAGGGGAGCTCTAGGCTACAGAAGCCAGTTCTGTTCCCAGGGACACTTACTCACCGTGAGCATCGGCGTGGTTAGCAGCCCCCAGGCAAAGAACTCCAGGAAAATCACCACCACAGCGTGGTACACGCTGGGCTCTCCAATCCCCTGTCGCTGCAAAACAGAGCTCTGGAAGTGAAAATCACATGGATCCTGCACGGTTTGGCAGCAACACGTGCAACACCCCAGAGGAGACTGGGACTTTGGGAAGGCAGTTTTACTCCTCAGCACCAACTCCATCCACCCAGCACAGCAGGGAAGGCAGTCCTTGGATCAGCTGTTACAAACCCCCACACCTCAAGGCCCTGCTTATCTGTCTTATCTCGAGGTCCTTTCAGGGCAGCATTTGTTCTGTCCCTTCTCCAAGTGCCAAACCTCAGCTGCTCACCCAGGTGCTCTCCTGCCAGGTGGGACACACGTGCACAGTCACGAGCTCACAAGGAAAACAAATGGTGAGGAATGGGAGGAAAGCACAAAAGCCTCAGCTGAGTTGCACCAGAGAAGGGCACAGGCCGAGCAGTTAGGAGCACACTGTGCTGCTCCACAGGAACCTGTCTCTTATCTTAGCCAGCCACAGGCCCTGATACGTTATGAACAAAACCACCCAAAATGTCTGCAATCCCAGCAACTGAGACATCTTCCAGTGGCTCCAAGAGTATCCAGAAGTTAAAAAACTTCCATTGGCTGCACAAAGATCACATCCAAAAGGATCTCAGATTTTGGCATGGGCAACTTCAATTCCACAGACACTTCCAGGCTCAGAGAATGGACTTTTGTATCAATTTTCTCACAGCTCATTAACATTTCTACACTGCACTCTTGAGATACAATTATCTAAAGAACTAGACCAAAGCTGTGTCTGTACCAGTGTCCTGCCTCCAGCATTCACTGTGGAGAGATTCTCAAGGAAAGGAATTCAAGAAACCAGGCATGTGAAGAGTGACTTTTTTACCCTGTCACATCCTCCCAGGTTTTGTCAGAATAAAACTGCATTTCAGAAAATTAATGCAGCTGTAAGTTATTTGAAATACAAGGAAGGCAGCACAGAGACATCACTCTGCTGAAACACTGTTTACGTTCCCAGACTCTGTTAAAAGTGTCTCCTGCAGACAAATCAGCAGCCAATCTGTCCTCATAGAGCAGGCCCACACTGAACCTGTCCACAGCTCAACGTCACTCCTGCCACTTACCAACCCCCTTATTGTGTTAGAGCCCTTAAACAATTTAGGAGAGCTGATCTTTGGCGTACGTGGTCCCCACACCAACCACTCCTCTGGAGGATGTGTGGCTGCCACCACAAAATACAAAGATGTTACAGGAAAAGAAACTAAAAATATGCAAAAAAGAGCCCGTGGGGCCAGCCAGCACCTCAGGATGGGAATTATGGTCCCTCAAGAGAGCAAGGACAGAGAAAAAAAAAGTTAAGCTCGGCTGTACCCACTTCAAGGCTGTTGGTGCAGAGGCATGGATGCTGTTGCCCGCGCCATGAGAAGCCTTCACAGCAAAGAGCTCGACTCCTAGAGGTAAATACTTCACACAGACCTGCAGGGAAACTGTCAGCCTCAGAGCGAGGGCTAATTGCCAGCGCTGGCGTCTCACCACTCGCAACACCAGCACTGGTGGAGCTGGGGAACGGGTCAAGAAGCGCGGCAGGAGCACGGCCGCCAGGCGCCCCTCAACGAGGCAGGGCCACGCTCCCCAGCCACGGGACGTTTTCGGTCGCAAGGGACCTCA